TAGAGGATGAGTTAGTGGGTGTCCGAACTTTTGTGTCGGCAGCAGAGTTCTTCGATTGTCTGTTTCCATCCTCACTTTTGGGTATATATTTGTGTAACTATCTAAGCGAGTCAATCAAACACTATGAGATGGAAAAAATAACATGTAAAGGTATGTTGATACCTTATGAGAACGCGTATGTATTCTACCCAATTAGTCACAGTTGGCGCTCTTGACCGTAAGATATCAACATACAAATGATCTTTCTTATACAGGCAGATGTTTTACGTTGTTGAGTTCGTCTCGGAGGATACGGTGGCAGTAGTTCCTGCCTCGTGGATGGTCGGCCCTGATAGAGCTAAATGGCCTACTCACGGTATGTTCAACATCGAACGTATCGTAAAACAGGGTTTACCACCACCACCCCGGTGCACAATTCACAAAGTAACAGTGCATAAAGTAGTCGGTAAGTGAATTTGATTTTAATTTGAAATGTTAGACAACTTCGAGGAGGCCAGGGCCATTTCCAACTACCTACTGGAACACACAAATATCTTGTCGTCCGATGCCACAATTCCCATGGATCGGCACGGGAAACGAAAACCGTAAGTGCTGTTGGTTATATATAAATACGTAACTATTAGAAAGCCCATTGTGTACTCCCAAACAAGTTCAGAGGAGGCTGCAACAAACAGACAGCCCACCGATCTTGATGTCTCAACACCTCCGCCATTAATCGACGACATGTCTGACTACGTGTCACAGCCAAAGCCGTTGAAAGACATAAGCGGTCTCAGCAATTTGTCTGGTATGTTCGCAGAACACACCCGACCATGCTCCACACCCATTCGCGTGCAGCGTTTGGACATTAAACAGTAAGCAGTACTGATAACGAATAACAAATTTTGTTTAGTACCAGCTTTCGAAATGTCTTACATGAGAATACGCCGTAAGTTAACATATAATTACCAATTACTTGTTGCATTTCAGACCGGTTAACATTCCATCTCATCGGGAGGCACAAACATAAGCCCTTAAAGCCAAATTAACATTTCATTTCATACGAATATTTTACTCCAATGTCACCTGTTTTTTTAATAGATCCCAACGTAAATCTGAGTACAGACATGCTGTACAAACTTCCCATGCCAGTGCACAAGTAGAGATTTTGGAGGTATTAGACCGCATACTCTGTAAGTTGCTAATGTTTTCTACATTTGTTCAAAAGGTGCCGTGAAAGAACTCACCGTTCAAGTCGTTGCCATTAGCGAGGGACAAAAACGTCTTGAACGGAAATTAAACCAGACCCTAGATCACTTGAGAAGCAGGAACGACGTTCCCATTCTGAATTGTCGCATACCTGCGAAAACTGTATCGGATCTGAACGATTTGATACAGAAAATGGAAGACGAGTCGTTTTACGGAGATCTGGTGCGTATGCATTTACTAATTCAACTACATTGCAGGTTAATTACCTTTCCAGAGTTGGAGCAGATACCGTCGGTCATTGCGTCCGCGCAATGTGCAAACTTCTGTTTGCCGACAGTTTGTGCTTCAGCATAAACTGGAGAGGATCCCATGGCAAAATGGGTTTATGCAACACCAAAGTTGCTAAACTAATATATGGTAATGGTTATACATGTACTAATTGATAAATAGACGCCATACGAAAGAAAGGTGTAGCGGTTACCGACTTGGACATCATCAAGGGGAAAATGCAACGGTGGATACAGAGGACGAGGCAGTCAGTGAATGAATCCGCCGAAAACTGCCCTTACTCGGATCAAGGTGTCCAGTGTCCATGGTATGTATTTCTTATAATTTAATATGATATAACAAATAATAATGCATTATTATCTGTACTGTATATTTA